TACCATAGTATCCCAAATAAAATGCGAGTCAGTTGTGCATGAGAATAGTTGGCATTTCCGCCACGGATGCTTACCGCTCGTCGGAAAAGCATGATTGTGATCAATGTGGCGCTCAACAGCACTGGATTCGGTGATGGCGAGGGCTCGCGGCAATGCGGATCGAGCAGGTCGACTCGAATCAGTCACGACAGATGACATAAAGGCCAGGCAGAAGTGGGACCCCTGCCATACCTGTTCCTTTTTAGCATATATACATGAATATATATATATATGTATATTTATACAATCTGCTTACAAAACACCAAAAGCTGTCAAATGCGAAGGGAACAGCACTCATTTTTGTGGCCTATTTGCGGCGCTGAGGGCTGCGCTTGCTCAAAACCTTTGATTCGCTCAGGTAAGCACAGGGCGGCCTGCGGCGGCGAAGTTCCTTGAAGCCAGGTCGGCAGTGTTCTGTTTGCCTGCAGGTTGTAAATCTCAGGGCCAATAGGTGTGGCTTTCACCAACTCACGAATCGCGGGACATCTACATCTTTCAATGCAGCCTGAACGCTTGAACTGGCAGGAGCACTCCATGTGATTACCTATCTGCCAGTTGGCATCTCATAGTACGAAAGTGCATCGCACGGGTTGCGGGATGTACCGGTGGCCTGCTTCAAAGATGACCTTAAGCAATCAAGGCATCAATATTAGTTTTTGGAGCAGGGCATGCACGCCTTGATGATCCTAACTTCAGCTGAACCTTGCAGCTTTATTTACATTCCCAAACAACAATATCGATTAAGCAGCATCTGGTAGTGTCCTAAACAGAGGGACCACAATACAAACCTAAAAGTGCTTTTTGAAGCACGGGCTGTTGTTTTGAGGCCGGCGCATCTGCAAACTAAACATGAAGCACCATATTCTATGGCTTACTATGGGGATCCCCAAGGGACCCCCCAATTTTAGGAAGCTTGTGCAGCCCAGAAGCTCCTGTGGTTGCGCCTCCTGTGGGAAGGCAACTTGCCACTGATGACATGAACTAGAGACCGCAGAAGCCAGTAATCAAGGCTGCTTCTTCGAAATCGTTGCTTCCATGTCATGTGTGGTGGAATACCCCTGTTCACGAAACTGACCGGCATGCTACGTGGCATCTTAGCCTCCAAGGAGCTTTCCCCAAACCCCAGAAAAGTCAACAGGCTAGGACTAAGCCAGCAAAAAGGTTCAGCAGGGATCAGAGTTCTGTCGCCTGGGAGATGGCGAGCCTATTGCAGGGTTGGCTGGTGCTACAGGTGCAGAGAAAGAGCACTTCCTTTCAATCCAATTTGTCCAGCCTCTCGCGCAACACAAGCATTTTTTGTGAAACATGCAACTGATGTCAGCCTTGACCGGCACGGTTTTGAAGAGAACATTCCTCCCTGCAAGACGCGCGATGCGCCTGGGGACTTGAAGCGATCAGAAATGAGGGCGCAAATGCTGCCCTGGTGCTACTGTGTGGCGAGCCCAGGAAGCGCTCGAAGGCTCGCCAGTCTGACCCAAAGATGTCTGCCACTGCGGCGGTAGCAACTGATTGGCGTCGTGCGAAGGCTGCCAGTGAGCAGGAAAGGGTTGCAAAGGAGCATTGTATTGACTTGAACCAGCCGACGTCCAGTCCGAAATAAGCGGAGCCTGTGGTCTCCACCCGGGAGAATTAGGGAAAGTCTCTGTGGGTGGCGGTGGCCACCTATGTCCTGGCCGTTGTGCTAAGCTCCGGGCGTGACGTGGTGCCAAGCCCTGGGAGTGAGGCCGTGATTCAGGGACGCGAAGACCGAAGAAAAAGGACCAAGCAGTGTCCAAGGCGCTAGGCCCGCTAGGTTTTTGAGCCTCTGCCACGCGTGGCAGATCTGGTTCTGACGTCGGATGTGGCAGATTTGGTGACGACGTTGGATGCGTTGGCAAGCCCTGAGGGCTCTGGACGGGCGTTGGCGCCGAGTCCGGCGTCGTCACTTCCTTGTCATTTTTCGGACGTTCCAGCTGCTCCATCTCAACATCCCCGAGCAGCCCAGAGACTGCAGGAGCGAGCACCGTGGTTCGTCTTCGCATGGAAGGCACGTGAGGATTGACTTCCTCCTCTTCAACAACGTGCATCGGCACCTCATCATAGAGAATGTAGAAGACACAGTCCAAGCGCAAAAGTCGCTCTTCTGCTGCTTGCAAGTTTTCCAGTCTCTCTACTTCAGTTTTCAGACCTTGAGGATAGCGCACTGCTGTCCCACTGGTTTCCAAGGCCTTAATCTTTTGCGAAATCTCCATTAATATCTCATACCGTCGCTGCTTTCCAATTTCCACCATCATCCAATCAACGCCCGCCAGTGTGGTAAAGAAGTACTTGGCCATTGCGACCCCAGCCAGCTTTAACCAGAAACTGGGCTGCAGCACCGAAATTTGTTCAGCTATGTACTTGTAAGCATCCCTCTCAACGCTCGCGGTTTCTTCCGTATCCTCGTCGCCGATCGTGAGTTTGTAGCGCTTCCAGGCAAAAGTGCAGATGAACACGTACCTAAGATAAGTCTGAAGGCCATTGACTTTTATGACTTTATAAGGATCACATAGAAATTAAGGGTAATAGAGACTAAGAAAATTGTTCAAACCTACCCCTGGGACCCAATGAGAGCGAGGATGGTGGATGCACGGTTCATGCTGACCTCGGTTCTCACCACATACGGGCCTTGGGTTTAGGGGGTGAACAGTGAAAACCCTAATTAAACCCTCAAAGGTTGCCTCAACCCGTAAATAGTAGCTCCCATTGGCTTTTCCATTCTCCCAATTTAACCCCTATGTCCTTTACCCCATCCCCATCCCTATATAATATAGTCCTATGTAGTATACCTATAAAACCTCTATATAACTTTTATGTTATCCCTATATAAGCTATATGACCCTATATAATCCCATATTAGGAGCCCGCCCCAATCTTCGGCCAAAGCGGCCATGACCTGGGCGACGGCCTTGTCAGTCAGAGGACGTGTGATGGTGTAATAACTGCCAAGAGCCAGATACCTTAGAAGCTATTATTGCGGGATAATATAGGATATAGGGGTAATGTAGGGGTTAGACAGGTACTATATGGGGGTTACACAAGAAAGGGATAATGGAAAAGAACTTGGAAGTGACTATTTAGGTATACTACCCCGCTTCCAACTTGCCCTACAAGCCCTTGTGCATCTTCCTTGCATAAGTTGCGTGCATGCAGCAAGATGCTAGGTACAGAAAGGTGCTCGAATCAAATGGGCCGCAGCTCGAGGCCCTGTCGCCTTCCTGTTCAAAGTCAATGGATACACCCTCACCACTTGTGTCAGCAAAGCTGCATCATAGGGCCAAAGGCCATGACGAGCAAACCCAAAAGCATCCAGAAGTCTCCCAGGAGCTGGAAGAAGATGTGATACATTCCCCACGTCATCGGACAGTACAGCAGTGGGAGCACAACCACGAACATGCCTGGGCGTTGGCCATGGCATGACGTGATTTTGAGGCCCTGTAAACCACAAGATTGCTATGACGGGTCTGGCCAAGTCACCTGGAATGGTGGACTGCGGGGCTGTAACCTTCACCTTCAGGGTTTCAAGGCAAGAAAGTCTGCAATGTGCTGGAAAAGGCTCCTGAGTTTAGGCATCCTTTGGCTGCCTTCAAGGCCCCGCGGAGAAGCGCAGGTGCGAGTGCTAAAGCTGCAGGCATGATGGTGTTGAAGCCTCGTAGCCTTGTGAGCCCATGGCTTAGCTTAGCTGGCTGGAGTGTAACAAATCTTAGGACAGCCTTGCTCAAAACCTATGCTTCGCAAGTCGGACAAGGCACCCATTGATCAAACCCATGCCCATAGAAACGCTCTGCTTCATTCGTTGGGCAATCGGCCCAGCCGATGCTGCCACTTGAAGTGCATTTTCCTGAAGCAGGGCAACATCACCAGCAACCTACGTCAGAAAGCGCATTTTGCTGAAGCGTTTGAGGCTGAGAATCAAAACCGAGCTCGATGGTGCCCCTCAGGTTTGGCATCACCGTAGTCCGGCAAAGCTCAGTGGCTTGCTCGATTGCCTGCTTGTGGAAGCGGTCTGGCTTGTTGAGATAATCCTCGACTTGGCCACAAGTGGAGTGGATCGGCCTTGCATGCGGCTGAGATCAAGCCCCCAAGTACAAACAGGGTCCCTGCCTGAAGTCGAAGTCCACCAGCTTGATGAAGGAACAGCACTTCAAATGCTTGTTCGGGGTCATCTTCAGCGTGGAACATGTCTTCTTGGCAAAGTTCTCCGCGCTATCTATGTGACCTTTGCCCTCAATGTCTATGAGCTGCATGCAGGCATTGTTCACACTTGATGCCAAATCTTCTGTTTGATTGCCTGTGCTGCTGGCAACATAGACTATCAGCATGTGCGACTTCACCTGCAAACATGTCGTTTTTCAAAGCATTACATATCGGCAAACATTTCTGGCTGAAATTGCTGAGCATCCCATGTGTTGCGAAAGCTCGGAGGCAAAGGTGTGCACCACGGGATCCAGGACGGACCAGTCCACGAATAGACGCGTGGGGATCACTGTTGCCTGGAAATCACATGTACTGAAGAGAAGGCAATTTACATCAATTTACAGTCTTCGATGTTCCTGCTGAGAATGTCAGATTTGCAAGTCAAAAGCTGCAGCCCAACGCCGGTGACCCTTATGTGACCCTCACCAGTGTTGAAACACGCCACCAGGAAGGGTGCTACCAGGCTGAATGCCCAACCGGTGAGCACCCCGCGGTGCGACTGATTGAAATGGGACCTCGGGTCCGAACGGGGGATCCGAATCGATAGATGAGGTTTGTACTAATTAGTGTACTTCTGGTCTGCACACTAATTACGGGTGCGAGCGGTTTGGTAATGCGAAAATGGCGTGTTGCAAGTTTCTGTATGCATGGCGGGTGGCCACTTCCTCAGCGACCACCAAAGGAAGTAACAGCCTCTGACTGCATCCAACGTTCAAGTCAAGGCATGAATCCACAGCCATACAAGAGTCGTGCTTTCTCTCACTTGGCCAAGCCACTGGCTCCCTGACAACAGACTTCAAGCATTGCCTGTAAGATGTCCATCATCGCCGTTTGGCTGATGATCTTCGCAAACCTTGGGGCCGGGAGGTTCCTAGTCTCCATGGCCGAGCCTGCAACATACATGCTATCGAAAGGAACAGGCTCTGCTGAAGCTTTGGCTCAGAGGACATCCCGGTGTAGAGGTGTGTGCTGTACGCAAACCATGCCTCTGGATCCTTTGCGGTCCAGGTCTGGTTGGACATCTCCACAAACTGTGGGAAACGCACAACGTTGCCGTTTGTCTCGATTCCTTGGACGTATGTGCACATGTCTTGCAAGCGACACGCGAGGAGCAGCAGACGTTTGGAGCAAAGCGTCTGCTTTTGTGGATCCACGAATTTCTTGTCATCATCGCCCCGGGCACATCGGCAGCTTCAATGAAAAATGCCAGCACACAGAATACCACCGAGACGAACATCATGCTTCGACGGACTGTCAAGAAGTTGATCACGGCATCATTGAAGACCTTGCGCTGTGTTGCAAGAAAAGCCCTCTCCGTAGAAGAGTACACGTTCTTGTCGCCAGAAGCGGTCTCCATCGACCGTAGGAAGTGGAGTGGCAGAAGCATCGCATAATTCACAAGCATCCTCCAATCCTGACAGGAAGGGATCACCTTTATCTACCTTCAGCCGCATGCGACCCCAGTGCGGAACCAGGCTTCCAGACTGGTCTCTGATTGTTCTAGGGCAACTCTTGCACAGCTCTGGAAAACCTAGCGGTTTGCGCAAGCACCCTCCTGAACACAGGAAGCCTCGAAGCTCAACAAATCTTAGTCCTTCTTGCGTTTCCAAGCAATGCTGCTTACAGTGATCGGCTCATAGAAGCTCCCTTGCTGCAACGACTTGCAACAGCCGTATGCAAGCACCGATCCGATCCATATGATCAACACCCCGGCAAGTAGCCAAAGGGCCTCAGCTGTGCAAACTCTTCTGCTGCATGTAGCTTATGCCACCCTCCAAGGATGGTTAGTCTCAACGGGAAGGATGTGTGCTGCCCAGCAGCAGACTTGCTGGAGATGTTCGTCTCAAGGAGCAGCCAGTCCGGCCAGCCGGTGTCGTCATCCCAGGCCATGGCTAGTTCAGGACGGAGGCAAGCAACGCCGAGAAGGCATAGCCCTATCTTACAACATAATCGGAACTTTTCTAGACTGATATCTGCTCCAAGTCGGCAAGGTGGCTTGCGGCAACACACATGCATAGGTTGCCCTTTGCAAGTTGAACGCGTTAAGATCCTATCCTTGGTGCAAAGGCCTTTAAGCTGTTGGGGGCTAAAGTATTCCATGTGCATTTTCACCTCGCTGGGTGATGACGTTTACCTTGCTTGTCAAGTCAAGTTGATTCAACAAACGCACAGCTTTTACTTGCATTTTTTGAGGCTTGAAGTCATGTTGGCTGAACGCTTGATCTGTGACGGTGATGCCAGTCAATGTTCATAAGCAGTACTCAATACTGAGCCAGCATGCATTGCCAGCATGCGGAGGTCTATCCGAAGCTTGTGGGCTAACGCACTGCTTTGGGCTTTCGTGTTCATTCTCTCTTCAAAGCCTACACCCTATACACCCCTATATCCCCCCAACATAAGCCCTAAATAGCCCCTGCTGAATGTGTCAGCCTGCATCGGCACAGCGGAAGGCGAGGATGAGCCTGCGACTGCTGCTCAAAGCACTCTTGGAAAGGTTCAGACTGGACATGAGGGGGCGAGCTGCTACATCATTTGACCCATAGTCTGAACTCCTAGTATCCGGCTTAATAACCCCTATAGTAGTCCCCTTTGTAACCACCTTTAAGGATCTTAGATTATGGCTCATGCTCTAGTCTTCACCACTTGAATTCAGTCGCAGCAGCCAGCCTCTTAGGCATGACTTCGTAGGCTGCGCAGAGCTTCCTTTCGGCGACGGCGCCTGCCAACTGTTTGAAGACCAAGTTATGCCAACTTGGGCAGCTGATTGGATGCCCAGGCCCAATGCAAGCACTCTGGCCCCTAATCCGTGAGCAGCTCAAACTGCCAGGCGGAGCAAGGCGGAGTGAAGTCATGAAGTGCAGCCAAGAGGCTACACTTGAAGCGCTCTGTTCTTCAGGCGTCCATCTATCCGATGCCTCTGGCGTTTGCCTGGTGCCGGGTCTCCGTGTTCGCCCTACAGCTAGCCAAGTCAGAAATGGCCTTGTAGAATCTTCTCCGGGCATGCGGCGCCGTGCACGCGGACTACGGTCCTCTGCCATTCTCATGCGAAGAGTCTCCCTGCAAGCTGGCCTGGTGAATTAGTCTGTGAGATAAGAGGCACCTGACTTTTCGGGATGGATGCAGAGCGCATGTTTCCTTGCGACAGTTCTCTGATATTATCCAAGATCTTTACCCAAATGCGCAAACACTTGCCCTATGCTGAGTGGCTGCAGCCAGGGCATTGTCGTTGAAATGGAGAGAGAGAGAGTGCGTGACAGAGAGAGGGAGGCTGTCTCAAACATCTGACCACCCCCTTGCAAACGCGCTTTTGCCGAGAACTCGGCAAGCTGGTGACTGGTTCGCCGCTTTGCGGGGGAAATCCAGCCTCAAGCCTGAAGCTGTTGCGCACCTCAAACTTTTCATGCTGGACGTCAGGAATCGTATTGAATTCCCTTGTCTGCCAACTTGAGACACACATGAGCTAAAGCTTCTACCATGTTTGGTGGTCAAAAGGTTAGCCAGGAGGTAGAAGGCGCCGTTCAAGTTCCACTCAGTATCTCGACTTCTTCTTCGTGCTCTTTGGTGGATTTAGCCTAATTACGTGTCCAACCTCAAACGAAAAAGCAAGAAGTCTGCAAGCACTTCTTGCCAGCACCAAACGAGCTGACCCTTTGCCTGACATTTTCCCTCTCTGCACTTGCTGTCATGTGATGGTCTGGCCAGCCTCCTACCCAAAGCAGGGCGCTGCGTGCGCAACATGTCGTGAGACTGCTCACTTCCGAAGAACGTGCGTTGAAAAGGTCAATGAGATGCATCTGCCTTGAATGAGGTGCAAAGATGTTGAAACTTCATGCATTGATAAGTCGCAGACCCCTTCGCTCCGCCCTCACTGATGCTCCTGGACTCCACCTAATCAAGCCTTGCCACTGAGCACTTTATGGGCAACACAGCAACTCCCGAGAAGCTGGCTTAGTCATCGTCCTCGTCGTTCACCATGCTGCCAGAGGCAACGCTGCTCCCTGAACCAGGCGCCCATGACTGCTTTGCTTATTTAGCAATCACATCCGCCTGTGACTGCTTTGCCAATTTAGCAATCACGCGAATGTGTTGGGCCAGCAGCTGTAAGTGCCCAACCACCTCCCAGGGTACTTCCTCCTGCCCTTCCACCTGGCAGAAAACAGCGAGCTGAAAGCTGGGCGTAAAAGAGTTGCCGAAGAAGCTCATTGAAGCAGCGACAGGTCAAGTTCAAATCACACCGGGTTTCATTGTCTTCATGAGGGCTTTATCGTACAGCCTGCATTGCACCGAATCCGAACATGAAGAAACCCGGCCGTAGCAATTCAATTCCCAAGCCCGCAACGGCCTCGCTTCTTGCCTTGCGACTTGACCTTCCATGGCTGTTTTTGTAGGCAGTCTTTCCGGGCTGTGCGGGTTGGATTATGCTCTTTTTTTTGTTGTTGTTCTTGTTCTTCTTCTTCTTCTTCGTCTCGCCGTTGCCACCGTCCGACACGTCCACGTTCTAATTATTCGAGGCTGTGGGTCAGACCCGCCTAGCACTTTTGAAGCTTTGGGTGCTGTTCTTGCTTTGGTTCTGGCAGACGGCCGATGGTCGCAGGGTCCAGGACGACTACCCCGAGCCAGTGTCTTTACACACGAGGCTGCTGATGGCAGCTCTGCTGCGTGCTGCGTGCTGCTGCGTGCTGCTGCGTGCTGCTGCGTGCTGCTGCTGCTGCTGCTGCTGCTGCTGCTAGCATCAACCACAGGGGCAATGTTGGGATGGTGTCGCCCCAACAGATTCAGTTTCAACAAGTCCCTGCTTGGGCTCTTTGCTGGATTGTATGTGTCATCGCCGGACACGAATTGAAAACCAAGAATACTCAAAACCAGCTTCTTTCTGCTAGGCACTGAGAAAGTCCAAGACATAATTGACATCGGCACCCCTAAGAGAAACACTGTCTTTGGAGACAGGGGCATGAACAGGGACAGATTCGAGCATGACAGTGTGCGATCATCAAATCATCAAGAAGCCATGTTGAGTTAGGTCATGAGGACTTTCTTTCTTTCTTTCTTTCGTTCAGGCTATGGGGAAGGGAAAGGTTTCCCCTCCCCGGGCATCAATACCCAGCCCGTGTTGGGGTTACACTACCCCTCGTCGCTTCTGGATGGATTATTCCTGAGTAGGCCATGAGGACTCTCCTTCTCTCTCAAGTTCATGCAGTGGCACCAGACACCATGCAACGTGCAGCAGCGCACGGGCCAAGTAGGCTAGCCAAGTAGGCTACTGGGTCACAATCTATTGCCAACTTCTGCCAAGTTTCAATCTTCGACAGAGTTTTCTCCTAGGCTCTGCAGGCTGACTATCGGGACGAGCTAGCTTGAAATGGTCTTGGCAAGGTGATCCAGTTGAGGCTTCTGGGCTCGGCTACGGTCTTTGCAAAGCCAACCAGCTGGGGACAAACCTCAACACATGTAGAAAGCAAACGTGGGAAAGCTCAGCAGTCCTGGCTGGCTTCCCTCGGTCTGTTCTATGTGAGTGCGCCTAATGATCATGAAATCTATTCGGATGATCCTTCTGGGAGTCGTCAGGGACTAGACTTTTGGCTCGACTTTGAGCAGTTGCCTTCGGCTATGCAGCCGGGAGCACGAAGGTCAAAGCCTGCTTTGCCAAAGGCAAGCCGTCTTCGGCCAAGGCACTAGCTTGGACAGCTGGTCCTCCTGTTCCTGCACATCTACATCAGATTTACCTGTTGTGCTGACGGGCGAAAGCAGCTGTAGGACTGAAAGATCCCATGTGCCAAGCGCCCGAAGATCATATGTGGTGCTGCATGACAGCAACTAGTGTGCAGCAAACGGCTCCTCTACCACATCGCGAGGCCACGGTGCATTCGTATCTGTAGATCCTCCATATCGCCTGATAGTGTCCTTGCCGCCGCAAGGCACTGCTGTTGCCGTAGGTCGATGGACGAAAATGGGACATGGACACCAGAGGCACGCACAAGATGTTCTAAACCTTACCCCAAACCTACAGCAACAATCTGCTGCGCTACTTTGCTGTGATCTCATGCCCGGCTTGCTTGCAAAAGCGCGAACCTCTAACTGCATTGACAGTTGCATGCTTTCAGCTATGTTCATGTAGCTCCTCGAAAACAGGATGAGCACTGGCTGGCTCCAGAACTTGAATGCCGCCGGCTAGACCAACCTCGGATTGCCAGCGAGCGCTGCAGTTTGGCAAGAAGAGCAACTGCTGCTCTCAAAGTTTCAGCTGCAGTGACACTGTCTTGTTAGGAGCAGCCCTCCTCGCCAGGATTGCAATGGCAACGGGACTCCGTGCAAGCTCCTCTGATCTCCAATAGCAAGTTTGCATCGGCTCGTTTAAAATCAGTGCGGCTCACTTTCAACATCTCAGAATTGTTAGACCTCAGTGCAAGTTCACGTGCAGTTCTCATTAACTTGCAGGGCTGCATCCTTGCAAAGATGAAGTGCTCGGGCACACGTCACTTAGATGCCAAACCGAGGAAAGTTTGCACAGAATTTGTGGGCTGTGATCCAATCAATCGAGTTGATAAACAACAGCAGCAGCAGAAGCAGCAGCAGCATCATCAGCATATGGCTGCAAACCGTGGTTGCCGCATGGCGTTCAAAAGCGCACTGTCGACAAAACCTGCGCAAAGCCCTGAATCGAGGAGCAAAGCCTCTGAGATTGCTCTAGGTTGTGTTTGTGCGTGTCGACGGGAAGTTCCAGGCATCCCGTATTAGAAGCCACGTGCCAAGCATTAGTCAAGAAGCATCGCCTTCATTGAATTCCAAAGGTTGATCCTGAGTGGCAGAGCTCTAGCTGTCCCCATGGACTGAAGCGCAGCGTCGTGAAACAAGTAAGGCAATTGAAACCTATTCAAACCGCAACAACATAGACACTGCTCAGTGAGAGCGGTGATTCCTCATGCTGCAGAAGCTCCATCGCCAGGCCAGCCAGAAAGCCTGACCACCGCTTCCTTGCATGCAGAATCAAGAGCTGTTTAACATAAGCCATCGTCCAGGCACTGGCATCGCTGGCTTTGAAGGTCGACTATGCCAAGTGTCCTCGACAAGGCGTGCAGCGTGTTCGCTGTGATGGCTGCTCGGTTCAAGCGAGCGTAGCCCTGGCAGGGAGCTAGGCTGCTGTGGCAATTGAATGTAGCAAGCGGACAAATACTGTTGCCAAGTGCCCGCATGTCTTGCTTGATACGCATACGCATAATCAAAATATGATAATTAGTATGGCCACGGCCACCTCTTGGCTGCGTATCCAATGCAGAAGGTACCGGAAGATCTGAAGTCCATGCTAGGCAGCTTGCCAGGCTGAACCGTTTAATGCTTCAAACTCAGATGCTTTGTTGTTACCTATGGGTTCGGGGGTTGCCTCGTTGACTGCACACGCTAAGCTAGGAAACATGTAAACAAAAAATGTCTGGGCATATCACACATCAGGCAACATCCCAGTGGACGCTGATACCAGCTCAACGCGAGCAAAGCCTGAGACCACCCAGTTTACTGTGGGCGCTTAGTCTTGATCCAAGATCGAGTGTCGCCTGGTTGGAGAACTAGCTAGCTGTCACATACATAGGTGGGCCCAATATGAGATCTCGCGCTTTGTCGACTTACTTGGAGGTTCATACTTGAGCATGCGCTGGCACCCCGCCATCCTCATGAGATATGGCTGTGCAACCCAGAGACCCAGCGGATGCCGCATCAAAACACACGTCTGACAGATGGCCGCCACACGACGTGTACCACAATACGTGCGTACGGACAAATGAGCTCCCCCCCTGTGGACGTTGACCGACACGCAAGAAAACATGCCGTGCGAGATAGGCCGATCGTTCGTAGATGCAGCGTCAGGTTTACAGCGCGGTCCGTGCATCTGCTCCAAGTTTGCCAGAAGCATCTGTGGATAAGGGAGTTTGGGGAAGTGACTCTGGTCACTGACATTCAGGGTGACCTCAAAAATAGGCCACCACCTTAATCTCAGGCAGCGGCTTCCCCAGTCCAGGCCTGCATGTTCGAGTAGGCGTCGTGGTAGGATTGGGTCAGCTGCGCAATAAGCAAATTCCTCATCTCAAGGCAGTAGCCAACATGCTCAATAATGCTGCTTTAACACCTGTCCAACCCCCTGAAGCAAAGCAAGCCGCAGTTTGACGCACATGCCATGAGCAGCCTGCCCTTGCTAACTGATGATTACGGACAACAACACCTTGGTGATAGCCCGCATTGCGCAATATTTGCCCCCGCATCTAGCAAGGGCTCATCAGCATAATGGACACTACAAACACAAAGACCGCGATCGGCACAAAGACAAATACGGAGCGTGCCGCAATGTCGAGGTAGTTCTCCTGTACAGCACAATGCCAGCAGCACGAGCATCTGGCAAGAAGCTGCGGTAGCACCTACTCTTGAAGATCAGAGAGCAGCAGCTGCAGGAATTTACCAATCAGTAAAAAAACCAGCTATAGCATTCTGCGTCTGCCCTGCAGCTCCGCTAGCCCCGCAGGCGCATGTCCCAGTTTCAGGCAGTGGAGACTGCAACTCCCACTCCTCGGGATATATCTCCAATGCCATCTGGAAGAGGACGTCAGCCCAAACGTAAAACCCTTCGATGGACGGATACTCGTTGTAAAGGGCGCTGACCGACGTTGAAAACCTTGCTGGCTCTTTCAATTCATGAGTCTTCCAAGATGCGCCCTTACCGAAGGCGTCAATCCGCTAGTTCTTCTCTCGCCTGGTAAATGCAAGCAAGCTGCGCGAGTATAATGCAAGTCAGAGCGCAAAGGAAGAGGGCAACTTCACCCAGCATTCGCCCACAAACCAGAACCTTGCAATGCTGTTCTCTGGAGACTCTAGTGCCTTCAGACCTGGGTGCGGTTGTGGCATCAGCCAGTGCTGCACAAACCCTTCGCGGTCAGGCAAACATGTTAAACACATCGGGCTTCTGAAGATGAGTGGACGATTCTCTGCATCCAGTTTACCCTGTGTAGCTCCAACATCATGTGGCTCGTGGCTTAAGGATCCCCAGCAAATTGCAATAGCTTTTTCACTTTGTTCCCCAAGTTGCAGTTTCCATACATGGGGTCCCAACATAGACCCCAATATGCTGCGATCCCTACGATAGCGACCCCCCAAACGTAGCCCTCACTTCAGGAACCCCTAAAAGTGTTTCTCAAGTGTATCCAGGCAACATAGGCGGAAATTCGCATGGAGAAGATGGCCAAGTCCAGAAGAAGTGCCCAGTAAATCATCATGGCCAGGAAGCTGGTGATGGAGTAGGTGCCCATGAACTCCTGTGAATTTGCTTAGATCTTGTTCCCCCCCTGGGCTGTTGGGTTGATAGATGTTAAGAATCTCAGCCTCAAGCTGGCTCTCCCTGCAGAATGCAACCCAAAGTGTCCCTACGGCGTCCAACCCCGATTTTGTGTGGATTGCTTAACCTGTACCGCGCCCGACAATGCAATGCAATCCATCTCTAGAGGGCTTGTCTCAATTCTGAAGACTGGCAAGTACCAAATGTTAGGGTTGCAACTAGTGCAGTTTCTTGAAGCACAGCAACGGTAAAAAACAATGGCTGCCATAGGCTATTTGCATAGAGCTTGGGATTTAGGATTTGCAGTTTAGGGACATGCCCTAAAGGAACGTTTGCATCGGAATGACAAAGCACACCAGCTTCCAAAAGATCTTTGCTTCCTCAGCTCCCTGGCAGGTAGTTGTCAATGGAAAGCCGTTCGGACCAGTCTGGCCGAAGATCAGGCACAGAATGAAAGGCTCCTCATGCCCAACAGCACGTAACAAATCAGGCTGCCGCGTGCACCCTTCCTTGTAATCACGACTCTTCAATTGTCAATTGCGGCTATCGCTCAGTTGCAGCTGTCCTGTGCGCAGCTGATAATGAGGAGCCACATGAGGCAGAAATTGGCTGCATCTTGGGCGCTGAAGAGGAAATTCGGAATCCTTACACGACGCAGCACTGTGCAACCAATGGTTGGTACTTGCGCAGTGCATGCTTCCTGTCATCGTTCTGGTTGTCGCATATTTGGCAGAGTCTGACCCGCGCTAAGCGAAGAGTCGGGTGACGTATCACAGGCCCTGGAAGTAGCTGTTCATGCTCAACTACGAGGGGCACACTGGCAATTAGGAGTCTGGCAACTGAAAAAGGGTGGACGTTAGCCACTGTTCTTTCAGGACACTTGCCTGTGATTCGCACATGTCACGGGATGTACTTGGCATCTACGAAGCTGGAATACGCGAACAGCAACAGGATTCGCTCTGTAAGGGATATGGCTGTGGTACCAGGCGTCGGAATGCAGAACGACCTGTTGAGATTTCCGCTCGCGCAGTCGGAGCACGTTTTTCGGATAGTGCCTCGGGCGGCAAGGTCTGTATGCCAAATGATGTACCCTATTATGCCATGGTAGTTTCGATTATATTTTCCATTATCCCAATATAACCCCCAATATAACCCTAATACAATCCCCAATATAAACTACTGCAACAATCACTATCCCTGACCCATATATACAGGCTTTTGAGCTTGGAATGCCAGCCCGAGCTTCAAACTCGAAAGGATTCGTAAATGCGGAGATCAGAGCAAGGGCTACAATAAAGAAAAGCAAGACACAAAGAACTGTTCGAAGCTTTAAACCCAGAATCACGCAAGTCATGGTACCGTACGCAGCAGAACTGAAGAGACTTGAGCTAAAGCGCTGAACATCAGCTTGCACATCATGCCCAGGTAGTTCATCATGCGGAACGTGAACATGACGATAAGCCTCAGGCTGGCTCTGCCAAGGACTAGACTTTCATCTGTCCCTGGGTGGACCCCCAACCTGTAATAGTGGTATAATAGGAATATAAGAGCACC